CTTAACTATAACCCCGCAATTGCAAAAACCCAGGTTCCTCAACCCTGGCAAACTAAAAGAGGGGGGACTTAAACCCCCAAAAATCCCCAACAATTGGGGGTGGGGGATTTCGGGGAGTTGAAGTCCACCCATCTTAAAGTTGCCAAGGTTGAGAAACCCTGGCTTTGACAATTGCAGGTATATAGATACAGTAGTCAGTTAATAAGCAAGGGTAAATTTTAAGTGGCAAGGACAATATTTTAATTGTGGGTTCAGACTGAACAGCCATATTACACTGTTTTTGCATAAACAGAAAAACTTGGAATGCAACTTACTTTGGCAATCTGAGAGTCATAGTCATGCTGTTAATCTAAAATGACATGATATGGTTTCAGGAAATATTGTCTTTCTTTGACTCCCACCTAGGTGGAAATATAATAAGAATGATGCCAACCATTTTTTTCTGCTCCAAATTTTTCTCCTGCAGTATCTTATTGGTTAAGGGATAAACAGAATATTATACACTACAGCATGGGTTTGTTTAATTGAGCAATCAGTCTTTTCTGGAAAAGCCAGTATAAAACAAGAAGTGACAGAAGGAGGCTATATTTAATAAGGCCATGCAAATAATGGATTGAAAGATTCAATTTGAAGATGATTTGACTGAATCACCTGCAAATTAAATCTTTCAATACAATATTGGATCACTCCTTTGGATTGAATTGCCAAATCAGTTTGATGTGTTGAACCAAATATCAAATGTCTTTCAACTGATTCAGCAATTTGATGTATTTTTGCCCACATGCACATACATATGCGAGACGGAAAGAGTGAGAGAGGGAGAGACATGACTGAATCAAGATTAAAATTAAAATTGATTTGACAAATTGAACAAAATTTATTTATTGAACCAAACTGATGCTTCACATTCAGTCTTGGATGTTTTGTACACTCTAACATTTAATTTCTCACCTATCACCATTTTTATTCTCCAAATTGTTCCCACAAGACATTATTTTTTCATCTAGGGCACTGGTGGTAATTGGGGGTGGTATTTAATAACAGGGAGTGAAATATACACAGGCTGTGCAATAATACAAATTAAGTGACAGTGGCCATGAATTTCATATTTTAAAATAGGCAGAAACTGAAATTTGGCAGCACTGTTCAAGTACATACACCTGAAACCATAGATATCTCGCCCTTGATGTAGGGGTTCTGATTCATGACAGTGTGAAGTTAAGTCTAGATTCTGTTAAAGTGGGAAACAATGAATTGGAACTGAAAAACTGGATAGGCAAAATATCCATTCTCTAAGTTCAAGCAACTCTTCTTAAAGCTGACTTTCAATATCTAGTACAGGGTCAGGCTTTAAAAATAAAGATTGTATGTATGCCTAAATTGGTAGTTCTCAGTATTCATACTACTGTTGAGACAATATAATAATACAATCCCTTTATGCATCTATATGTCCTTCTTCAAGAAAAACAGAACATTGTTTCTATCTTCACAGGTCCCAGAATTGTTTTTGATGATGAGATGCTAGATATGGAAATTATTGGCCTAGGTTGTCCTCACAAATACACGATACCATTTAATGCATGAAAGCTTAGTTAAGGCCATTTTTTTTTCTGGAGTGCAAACCTCCAGATAGCCACAGGATGGCAGTATTTTTATTTGTTTGTTTGTTTGTTTCTCTTATCTCCCAACTAGTAGTCATCTGGGCTTTTTGCAGCCCTGATATGGTAGCCCTAGGTGATGGAATCCAATATTTCTTAATATTATGCTATTGTTATAGTAAACTCTTTGTTATTTATTTGTTGATGTATTGCAAATACATAAAAACAGATGGTAATTAAAATAACACATTTGAAAGGTTTACTATAAGCTCTTACATGTTTTTTATCCACATAAGTTTTATAGGAAATAATGAGATCTGATAAATAATATCATTATCAAAGAACTTCTTCCACTGTGATGCTTTCATTCTCATTATGATATTGTCATGAAGTGACATACATTTTTAAAGCATATCACCTTACTCTGAGTTCAGCAGCTTGTTTGATTGATTACTCTATCACACCCCTGCATCTTAAGTAGAGCTCTTACCCAAGTGATGAATGAAAATCGATACACAAATTACACAAGTGTGATAAAAAATGAACCCAGACTAGAATTGGTGGACAGCAGCATGTTCTGTGGGTATGTGGCATTCTGGAATTACATTGCTATGCAGCCTGGCTTACAGCTCAACTGCAATGATTTTGAAATTGTTTGTGAGTACAGCAGTCTGTACATGAAGCAATGTACTCTCCTCTTATAATCCTTTGCAAGACTATGGTGTCCTAGAACTGGGGAAGATGTGCACGTAATTATCATGCAAACCATGACTGCAAAAATAACTACAAAAAAAAAGAAGTGTTGACTCTTCCAACACTGTTTTCTCTGTGAGACCCACTGGTCCGTAAACATATAGGGAACCAACACTTCTGCTTTTTTTTTTTTTTTTTAAAAAGGAGGAAAATGAGGGGGAAAAAAATAACGAACCAATGTAGGTATTCATAGCACATGTAGGTATTCATAGCACATGTAGGTATTCATAGCACCTGCTTTTTTTTTTTTTTTTTAAAAAGGAGGAAAATGAGGTGGAAAACAATAACGAACCAATGTAGGTATTCATAGCACTTGATCAGTTGTCCAGAAAATAGGTTACGTTGGGTGAAGAAGTCCTACCCTTCCCATGGTGACCTTTCATAAGGAACTGTATAGGCCAAACATATTTAGCTTCAGCATTATAACAATAAAAGTTGAGAGACAAAAACATTTCCCAGTGCCCTTATATTATTAATTCCAGACATCCAAACTCAGAACCACTGTGTCTTTTGGGGGTTGAGCTTGATCTGTTCTCCCCTATCCTTCAAAACCCTCCAGGCACTGGGAAAGCAAATCATCCACATCTTCTGTTTGGTCTTGGGTCGAGATATACAGATAAGTATCACCAGCATAGTGAAGATAACAGCCTGTGCTGTCAGAGGACCTTCCCCAGTGATTTCATGTAGATGTTAATAGGAAGGATGAGAGTATAAAGTTGACCTGAGTTCTTGACCTTCCCCAACAACTGGAAATGTCTTCAAAGGAAAGAGGAAAACTACTGCAATACAGCACCCCCCATTCCCAGTTTCTGGTGGTGGCCCAGAAATATGTCATGATTGACTGTATCAAAGGCAGCTGAGAATAGGATTGGAGGATTATACCCCACTGCACTGAAGAGTGATCAGTGGAACCTTGGTACTATACCCAAGGTTGAATTCTGACTGAAAAGGATCCAGATAATCCATTTCATCTAGGGTCCTCCTCAGCTGCAAAACCATCACCTTCTTAACAACCATCTCCAGAAAAGTGAGGTAGGAGATTGGCTATTTCTCTAAACTGGGTTGAGTGGTGGTTTTCTGAGGAGAGGGAACCCCACTGCCTCTTTCAAGGCTGATAGCATCTCTCTCTTCCTTCTGCCAGCTTTTTGGAAGCTTTCCCCAACCAGGACTAGAAGGGATCTAATTCACAGGTGGTGGACCTGATGTCACGGATGATCCTATCTACTTCCTCAAACTCATCCCAGATAATCTTGCAAGATATAGCCTTGGTCACCCCTACTGGATTTGTTCAGCTGTCATCTAACTCCAGGTGAATCTCAGTGATTTTATCCTCCAGAAGCCCTGCAAATATAGTGACCCAATAAATATTCTGCCAGCCCATCCTTCCTCAAAAGATTATGGGACATCTTATAAAGGGCTTCTGGTTGGCAATCCAAGGATGCAGTAAGTATTGCCTTTTTGCTTCTCTTACTGCCACAATATAGGCTTGAAACTGAGCAATTACCCATGTTCAGTCATACTTGCTTTTGTCTTTCACTAGTGGTGTTCTAGGCATTTCCTTTGCTGCTTCATGTCCCAGAGCTCTTCAAAAAAACTATTAACAGGAAAAGTGGAAATAGTCTATTATTACTGAAACCTGGGTGGAATATAGGTGATAGGTTCTATCATTCATAATTATTCTCACTAGCTTATTTGATGCAGCAAAGACCCAAAGGGCAACACACTGTTGTCACTCTTTTTCATGATTCCACTGTTTTCCGGCAAGTTATGTAATTAGCTGAATGCCTGCATTTAGTTCTGAGTATTTAGCACATGAAATTGTATATGTTGAGCATGTGATGAGAGTGGATGATAAGACTAGAAAAATGATAATTCTTGACAAGGTTGGTTGTGCTGTTGTTCCCTGACCACACGGAATGAATTTTCTAGCTTTTATTGGTGGTGGTTTCAGATACATTGATATTCCTGATTTTTTCTGGAAAGTGGAGAAGAGTTTTGTGACATCATCACTTCTAAGCATCCATTCTGAGCCCATGTAATTCATGAATCTGCCTAGTTAATTGGGTCCCTTGAGGTACAAAATGGATGGGCAGACATTTAAAACATCAGTCCAGGCTGTATAAAGACCTTGTGATACCTGAGAAAATAGGAATGTCTCCCCTTCCATTTCAGATATAGACCTGTCACCAAGAGAGGAAGGCTCAAGTCAGGAATAACCAAATGGAGCTTAGAACCCATCTCCATCCCTATTTTGTAGCACTGACTACCCTGACAACTAGAACATTTTACAAATAGAAAAAATTACTATATTGTTAGCATTTCGAGCCAGTTAGCCTCCTATGACTAAGTTAATACCACAACTGGAAAGCTTTAATTCAAGGCAAGAATTTTCTAGAAATATATAGCTATAGATTCTGGTATGACCTTAAATAGTTGCAATGTCAATTCATGTGTATTTCTGTCACAGATGGTGAATGAGCTTAGAGGCTTTTTGAACATATCAGAATTATTAAATATTTCATACTCTGAGGAAATCGAGGTGGATTGTCATTGACATCAGTCAGGGTGATGTTCACCATGGTGGTTCCTGATAATCCGCCCATTTGGCCCCCCATATCCTTGGCTTGGATGACCACTTGGTACTGCTCTCGATTTTCTCTGCTCATATCTGGCAAAGCAGTCTTGATTATACCTTGTGGAAAAGAATAGAAAAAAAAAAAATAAGATTGAAGAGGGGCAGAGGGAGAAGTGAAAAAGAGTATTAAAATGGATTTTTGTCAGATATGCTGTACCAGTTAATCCACAGCAAATAAACATAATTGAAGGTGCATGTAGTGAAATAAAACTTTCAGTCCAGTTTAATGTCACAGTGAGGGGAAAAAAAGCAGGGAGTCCTATTACTCAGTATTTTTAGACTGGCATTAAAATCAATGTAATTTTCTTTCTAGCAAAATAGAAAACAGACTAAAATGGCTAGATCTGTTATAATGAAAGTACACTCTCTCTCTCTCTCTCTCTCTCTCTCTCTCTCTCTCCCTCTCTCTCTCTCTCTCTCTCTCTCTCTGAGACATGAACAGACTGTATCATTTCAATGTGAGGAAGCACTTTCTAAATTACTCCTGCACGTAAACATTAAACTACCACACGAGAGAGAAGAATCCTTCTAATGTACTATATATTATACAGAGGAAAGGGAAGATAAATAAAATGTGGCAATAACCATTTGCAGGCTGGAATGGCACAATTCAAACTATCATCTCATCCTTGCACTGTTGTCCTTCTGTTGCATGTGTGAACAATTCCTTCCTAAATCATCGATAACACTCAGGGTGAAAATGAAACATGGGACCTGAGAGGATAAGGAAAGGGACACTATGTTTAGCCCCCTAGTTGTACTATTCTCTCCATTCTCTTTTTCATTATTTTTATGCTGACCGAGCAACGTGCAAAGTCATGAGGTAAAAGCCAAGGTGATCATCTTTGCTGTTACTGAAACTTCTCTTACTTTTTTTCAGACATCATTATATGTATAGCAGCTTCACAATTTCAACTGAACTGGCTCAGAACTGGGATGTGCGAGGATGAGGGATTGTTTTGTTTTGTTTACTTGGCCTCTTGTGGCACATTAGCTGTTCCAAAATCTCATGCAACTCATGCAATTTAATCCACCCAGCAGCTGTGGCTTCACATTCACCATGCTCATGTAAACAATTTGCAGATGAAGCCAGAGGACCAGGTTGATGAATCGGCTGCCCTCCTGTAGCTCATGGCAGGTTTTCAGTCTTACTACTTGGCTTATCTCAGAGATGATTTCCACAGCCAGTTAAACAGGCTAACAAGGCTGGCATTTGGTGAAATCTCCAAGTTGACGAACTATCGTTCCAGAAGAAACACCATGAGAAAATGTTCCGTTTGCTCACCTCCCACCTCCAAGCTAAGAAGAGACACTATTGATTTCTGGTTCAACAATATTCCAACCCATATCTTGAAATTAACAGTGAACATTCCAGCTGGACAAGCATGTATAACAGTATTTGAATAAATCATTTAAAACAAAAGAAGGTACAAAACTTTGAAAAACTAATTAAAGCTGTCAGTTCCTATACATCACTGAAACAATGCAAAGCTCACATAACCAGAACAAAGCAAGCCAATGGATATTCTAACCTGTTTCTGGATCCACTGAGAAATATGGCTGACCCTGGAGGATGCTATATACAATTTTGGCACTGTTGCCATAGTTAGCGTCGTCAGCATCTGTGGCTGTCACTTGGATGACAGAAGTGCCTGAATAGCAACAACAAGAACAAAAATCCACAATATGAAATGAAATGAATCTGTATTGATAGAAAACCAAGGTAGGAATGACATTATTGACACTTTAAGAAAAATAAATAAATGGATCCCATACATATAAATCAGCTGTTTGGTTTTGATTCAGAATAAGTTCTAGATCCAATTCAGGGCCCCATAACAATTAAGGTATGTTATAAGACAAATAGCAATTTGGGAAGGAGTTAATATAGAGCCTCTGTCTGGATCAAGACCATGTTCTGGACTGAAGACTAAGGTCTAATTGCTGTTGTTTTCCTTCAAAATAAAGTGGTTGCTTTAATAATCTATTTTTAAGAAATGTGACTAATATAAGACATAGATCATGTTGCCATATGTTTGCAACAATCTCTTTGAAACTACTTAGGTACATGATATTTAACCATGTATGGAAATCATGATCACAACATGGGCAATGGACATTAGCTATGGCATTGTTTTTAAAAAGTGAGTTCGTTTACATATCTGTTTGGAAATATATTTCCAAATCACTGCATGGCCTTAAGAAAGTTCCATACCTAGCTGTTTACAGATGAAGAAACTTTGTTATCTAAAGTAAAAGGTATAAGATGGAACAATTCTCCCAATTTCATATGAAGTGGATTGGCAGTAGATCTTTATTTCAACACTGGACAACATTTTCCCCCACAGCTGAGGGCTGCAAGCTAGTTTAAAGGTTGTAGATAGGTTGTGTGATCTCTACAACCATCCGGAAGAAAATGCTGAGATTGCAGGAGAAATGGCCAAGGGTGTACAGTGAGGGTGCATAGCAAGGGTGTTTTCAGGCACTCAACTTAGCAGACAAATCATTCTTAAGTATGCTGCTAATTATACAGTCCCATGTACATCATTCTTAGCTCTGTTGGAATATGTGCTTAGCCATGACTCTCTCTACTTCGAGGAAATATTGTCATCAACTGCCAGGTCTTCTGAATTAATTGAACAATATGTTAGTTGTTATGTATGTATATTTAAGGCTTTAACCAATTTTTATTATTTTGTTTTTCTTTTTGTCTATCAGCCACCATTAGCACCCTAGAGATGAAAAGAGAGGGTACAAGTGGAAATTATTTTGTATACTACAAGACCCATATAAAAGCCAATTAAGCATTAATAGAAGTAACTAATAAAAACAACAGGAATTAAACCAATCTTATATTAAAAGTCATTCAAAGCCAAGTGAAGCAAAGAAATGCTTTTTGCTGCTTGCCTAAATATCATTATGGATGGAGCTACTTTAAACTCCCTTGAGAGAGAATGGCATAATTGAGTTTTAGCTTCAGAAAAGAGCAAAACCACTGACCTAAAATGGAGGATCCAAAGTGAGTTGAGATATGCAATTAAACTTGTCTAAAATGGCCTGGGGAACGACAACATTGGACCCCTGAATGTATTTGCCCAGTATGAACTACTGTTATTTTCTTATGAGAACATTAATAATATTTCAGTGTAGAAAAATGAACAAGGTGAAGTTCAGATACTTTCCAAACCTGACATTTCTGTGAGTGTAGCTACAAAAGGACAAATCCCAGCATCATACAATATTTAGTAAACACTCAAATTTGTTTAAAGTGTTGTCATTCTTACTGGTGGTACTATGGCTTGAGTAATTAGAGAGTAAAATGATGATTCTGGAATTGACAGTACACAGAAGTGTATATAACACTATAGGTTACCCATTCTTTTAAGCCAAAGGACAACCACTTCAGGTTTTCTTGCTTTAAAAAGAATATTCTGACTGCATCTTGCATCTAAATGTGAATGTTTATGGTTGAACAAACATTAAAGGACAGAAAGAGATTGCATCTGGGACATTAAAATTGAAAGCATCAGAGAAAGTTAGACAAAACAACAAGGACGTTGGGGAAATTATTATCAACAGGACCAACTTACGTTAAAAACATATATATTAGAAGATACTACACACACACACACACACAAACAAACATATGTTGGGAAAGCTGTAAATAATAAACAGATAAAGGTTGTGAAGTATAAACAAATATAGAAACATTTTGTCAAAGATTTCTTGAAACCTGGAGTGAGGCTTAGTGATGATTTATCACTTGGGCTCATCTAACCCTCTTAATTTTTCTACAAACATTTATTACACACTTGGTGACTGACACTTTTAAGTATGAGTAGGCTGCCTGAAACACAATTTATTCGAAGTGATATGGGAGTCTCAGTAATATTAGATTTGTAATAGACCAGTCACATATGCAAGCTATCCTATAATACAGCACCTATTAAATAACAATCATGTGCATGCAAGCCTAACATTATTGAGCAGTGCATGGTGGGTTGTATCCACACACAATAATAAGAAATCACTGTGTCAAGGAATATCCCAGATGCCCACTCAGTAGCAGGCTGCCCCATTGACATTACTTTTAGTTCAAGCACTACTAATCTATTATATGAGTCAGATTGGTGAGCTGATTAAGACACCAGGCTAGAAACTGAGAGACTATGAGTTCTAGTCCCATCTTAGGCACCAAACCAGCTGGGTGACCTTGGGCCAGTCATTCTTTCTCAGTCCTAGGAATGAGGCAATGGCAAACCACTTCCAAAATCTTGCCAAGAAAACTGTAGGGACTAGTTCAGGCAGTTACCAGGAGTCAACAATGACTCGAAGGCATACGTCAACAATATGCATTAGATTTCTATGACTCACAGCATAGATATTTTGAATTGTGTTGAGATGCTTAGCTTGTGGTTCCCCTACACACGGAGGCATCTCACAGATGTTTCTGCCTCCACCAAGTACTGAGGCCTAACCAATCTGCTTCAGTCAGTTACTTTGCTTCAACAGAAAGTACTTTTGAAAAGCCAACCTTTGTGGTTGCTCCACTCCACTGGTTAGAAGTGGGGTGCTGTAGTGTGAATTTTTATATACTGAACGCTGAAGTTCCATTTAGGAGTCATGGCTAACAGCCAGTGACAGATCTATTCTCCATGTCTTACTGAAGAGCAAAGACATACAGTCTCAGAACTGGAATTGTGAACAATTAGAATGCAGCAAAAGGGATAGTCCATTTACAAATGGGTACAGATTCCATTTGATTTATTTCTGGGTTGTCAACATCTGCAATTTTTTCACAATCTGGATGGAAAGAATGAGAAAGGATGGAGAGAAACTAAAACAGATTCATCCATTCTCAGTTCCACTTGTCACTTTAAAAAAGATGTTAGCCAAGTAAATAACATTCAGTAGAATCAGATTGTTTCTCTAGAAGAAAGTACTGTATCACTTTATTTTTATTTATTTATTCAATTTTAAGCCACTTTTCTCCTCTAGCAATTGTTTAAAGTTGCTTAATGCTGCAGGCTATAGAGTCTGATTCTGACTGTTCTTTTCTTAAATAAAATTGGTGTGGAAAACTAGAATACTATCAGATTACCTGTGAGATATTAGCAAATAACTGCTAATTTAGGAAATAATTCAGAAATGTGATCTTCTATCGGAGTACTGCAGCTAATTATAATACATCATTCTGTTACATATATAAACTAGCTTCTACCTTCATCTTAACCCGGTTGTAAAAGTGAATTTCACAAGACTGTGTGCATAAATTTATTGCTGTAGAGTATAATGTACAGTATATAGGTCTTTTTAAGCCAATGGAAAAATGGGAACTTCTGGAACTCAGTTTTCTTCAGTGGTTCTCCTCTTTCCTCCAAGACTGGTTCCAGTATTGGTATGTGTGTGTGGCAGTTCTGATCCTAGACCCTGCAAAGCTTGAATCTCTCCTATCCTATTTCACATCTACATCAAAGCACTGGATGTGTTGGTGCAGTCATGTGACCTCTAGGGAATAGGATGGCCATCGTTTCTAATAGCCCCTTTAGGCAAGTACCACTCTATCCTCCAGTCTGGTTCCTGGGCAATGTCCAGTTTTGTTTTTTCTTTTGTTTTTTTCCCCTGTACCCACCAGGTCTGTGTGCTGCTGATTTGGCGTAGAGTCCTGACTTTTACAGAAGGATCATCTGATTAACAACTGATACTGAGTGGGTGGAAAGTCTGTGTAACGCAATGGGAAGGAGACTCCCACTTCATCATGCAATACCACTGCTGATCAGCTATTAGCTGGGCTATGTAAAATAGGTTTAGCATCCTTCAGAAGAATATTAATTCCATATTCACACACACACACGTTTATTACAGCCCTAAGGCCAGATACAAAGTATACTCTCTCCCACTGCACTGCACAGTCCTGCCCCCACATCTGTCAATTGGCATGGTAGGTTGTACAATGTTTTGGGGACTCTCCATCCTGCTACATCATGCAAGCTCTTCCCACCTGTTCCATGCACCTATCTGTAGTTCAACCCAGATATAAGGGGCTAATACTAAGCCACAGAAGTGGTAACCCGGATTGCAATCCTCTACTTTAAACTTGTCTTGGATTCTAGTCTCAGTCCTCTGTTTCTGCCATAATATCTCTTGTTTTGTTTTGTTTTGTTTTTAATCTGGCTCTGGCTCTCACTCTTTGCATCTTATTTGTATCACCACCAACCATACCATGATCATTCCTGTTTTAATTCTGATGCTAGTTGGCCTAAAGCTGTATCTTCATTCCAGCCACTTTTGTATCTGAGCCTGTGATTTAATCTAATGTCAACAAACATCAAGCCTAAATTTCATATGACATATTCCTTTCCCACTGATAGCTTAGGATGATGATAATGATAAACTCAAATTATAGGTTTATCATTTAAAATCATTTGTCATTTACTTAAACTGATAAACTCAGATTTATAGGATCTATGATGATAGCTGTTCCCCAAGATTCACCATTTAGCATGCTTTCCAAAAGACAAAATATAACACCAGGTATTTCATATACCTGTCAAGTCCACAATGTCCATCCTTCAATCCCGAAGAATTCTCATGCAACCAGGCCTGGTTCAGAAAATGCTTCTTTATTTTGTGGTACATGTAGCTTTGAACA